CGGGGACCGCGAGGGAGGGTTGGGGGGCGTCCCGGGGGGAGGGGCGGTGACCGCGGAGGGCGGGCAGGGACACGGGTCGGGTGTGGAGGGGCGGCCGCCGGCGGGGCGGAGACGTCTCGGGGCGCGAGGGACGCGTGCGGGGAGAGGGGCGGTGACGTGAGATGGTGATGGAGGAGGTGGGGCGCGTCCGATGGGGAGAAGGGGCGGTGACCCGGTGGGGGGAGGGCGGTGACCGCGGGTGTTGGGGGGGGCGGGGGAGACGGGTCTGGGGGTGGAGACCGCGGAGGGGGACACGTCGGGGCGGGGGAGTACGGAGATCGCGGAGGGGGAACGGGCCAGGGGCGGTGACGGCGGGCGGGGGACGCGTCCCGGGGTGGCTGGCAGTGACCAAGGGCCGGGGTCGCGTCCGGGGGACGGTGAGGTGAGACGGTGATCGAGGGGGTGGGGCGCGCCCGGTAGGGAGAGGGGCGGTGGCCGCGGGGGCGGAGACCAGGGACTACGGGCGCGTCCAGGTTGGGGCGGTGAGGAGGGGCTGGTCGCCCCCTTTACTGGGATCGGGCACACTCAACTCCTGACGCCCCCTCTGCGTCTCCCTGGCAACCAGCCGCGCCCCGCCCCTCCCCTCGCGTCGCGTACGGAGGAAATGGGCGTGCGCGCGGCGTGCGCTTCCGGCTTGGCGAGGAGCGGGAGCGATTATGAACGGGCGGCGCGTAGGGCCAATCGCGGAAGACGGCTGGGGAAGAGCCAATCGCCAGGGCCGGCGGGCGCGGGTAGGGGGCGGAGCCTCGGGCGGGGCTGGCGACGCCGAGCCAATTGCACCGGCCCTCGGGGGCGGTAGCTGCGGCGACCGAGACGGCGGCCTCGTCGGGTCTGGGTCCGGGGTCGGGGTCTGGGGCGGCGGCGGGCGCGGCCATGCTGCAGCTGCGGGACTCGGTGGACTCGGCCGGCACGAGCCCCACGGCGCTGCTGGCGGCCGGCGAGGAGGTCGGGGCGGTCGGGGCGGGCGGCGCGGGCGGGGGGCGGCCGGGGGCGGGCACTCCCCTGCGCCAGACGCTGTGGCCGCTCAGCATCCACGACCCCACGCGCCGCGCCCGCGTCAAGGAGTACTTCGTCTTCCGGGTGAGGCGGGCGTGGGGCCGGGGCGGCCCGGGAGGGGGGTGCTGGGACGGGAGGGGAGAGGGGCGGAGAGTGACACCCCCCCCCCCCCCCCCCGCCCGCGCAGCCCGGCACCATCGAGCAGGCGGTGGAGGAGATCGGCGTGGTGGTGCGGCCGGTGGAGGACGGCGACATTCAGGGCGTGTGGCTGCTGACCGAGTGAGCGGGGCGCGCGGGGCGTGGGGACCGGCCGGGTGGCCTGTGAGCGGGGCGGCGCCCGGTGACTCGTGTCGTCTGCGGGCAGGGTTGACCACTGGAACAACGAGAAGGAGCGGCTGGTGCTCATCACAGACCAGGCACTGCTCATCTGCAAGTACGACTTCATCAGCCTTCAGTGCCAGCAGGTGGTCAGGGTCGCCTTAAACGCGGTGGACACCATCTCCTGCGGAGAGTTCCAGTTTCCCCCCAAATCGCTCAACAAGTAAGACTGTGGGACACAGAGCCTTAGTACCAGGGCCTGTAGCAGCAGGTCCGTCCCAAATCGGCCCCCTGGTTGTCCTGAGTCTGCCATTCTGCGCGAACATAAAATCATCTGCTTCAAATCGATAGTTTCTTAGAATAGAAGCAAGTGGGCAGCAGGTGCATTAAAAGGAATTCTAGCACAGAAGACAGCTATCAGGCTGGCAGTAAGATGAACTTGAGGTCTGTTGAAGCAGAGCTGACGTGGTGTTCTTAAGATGAGAGCCACATTCGGTGTGTGTCACCTCTGTCACATCAAGCTCTGCTCCGGTTAAATTTTAACAGAAAAAAAAAGCATCGCTTTTATTTGCTGATGTTACTAAAGGCAGAAGAGAGTTACTGACCTGCTTTCAGAAGGGCGGATCTTGAAATACGAGAAGCCTGGACTTTAATACAAGGTAGAGCTTTGCTGCAGGGATGTGATCGGGGCTGTACCCAAGTCAAGACCGCTAACCGGCCGTCGGGCCTCCTGGACAAAGGGCCTGAGGCTACAGACATGTTGTTCTCGTGGTTAGCCTGCCTGCAGCGCCTTCCCGTTGCTGTTGAACTGCACTAATAGCATAAAGGGTGTTGGGCCCAAACAAAAACAATGGCGTCGGTTTGTAGTATTCAAAGTGCTCGGTGCGGGTGACTGGAGACCCCCGGCTCTGAGTGTCACAGGTCCTGTCCGCGGTCCCAGAGCAGCCCCCTAACGTCACACCCTGTACCTGCCGGGCTGCCAGGGAGAGCTGTGGCCTGCTGGGTGACGTGAAAGCTTCTTTCTTTGTAGGCGAGAAGGTTTTGGGATCCGCATTCAGTGGGACAAACAGAGCCGCCCTTCCTTCATAAACAGATGGAACCCCTGGTCCACCAACATGCCCTATGCCACGTTCATAGAGCACCCCATGGCTGGTGCGGATGAGAAGACAGCGTCTCTGTGCCAAGTAAGACCGTGAGGGCAGCGCTGTCCAGCCGTGATGGCGACACTCTAGGCCTGTGTGGCTGTTGAGCACCTGGACTGTTCTGTGTCCTAGAAAAACTGAGAAAACAAGCTTTTAAGTTTTAGAAATTTTAGCTAACTTATGTTTAAATAGCCCCATGTGGCTAGTGGCTCTTGGTCAGGGTAGCTGTATGACATCGCCCCTTGTGGCCATGGTCACCTTGGAGAAGGGCCCGGAAGGGCTCTGGGCAGTCTGTGCTGGCCCAGCAGGCTGCGTGCTCGCCAGCAGAGGAGGCCCTGGGGCCACCGGTGAGGGGAGTTGGGCCTCCCTCGCCAGTCGCGCACTTGGCCTGCTCACTAGTCTGGCGGGTGGTGGTGAGGATTGAGTAGGTCCCTGACGACACAAGTGCTCTGTGAGGCCTGTCGTCTGTCCCAGTGAGCACAGAGCTAGGATCTGACGTTTCCAGAGAGGCGCATCGAGGAGCCGAGGGGAGAGGCTGCCAGGGTGTGGCTGGAAAGGCACGTCCTCCGAGGGCAGGGACGGGGCTGGCACAGGAAGGGGTGGTCCGTTCCACGTGTAGACCACTGACCGGCAACATGATTTCTGTCTTTACAGCTGGAAAGTTTCAAAGCTCTGCTAATCCAAGCTGTCAAGAAAGCCCAGAAAGAGAATCCTTTGCCAGGACAAGCCAGTGGCGTGCTGGTCTTGGATCGTCCCCTCCTCATCGAGACCTACGTGGGACTCATGTCCTTCATTAACAACGAGGCTAAACTGGGCTATTCCATGACCAGAGGCAAAATAGGCTTCTAGATGGCGCCCACAGGTAGACTTGGGGACGTGGGGCCTCAGACCCGGGCCAGCTCCGCTGCACCGGCAGAGTCGGGGCTGTTAACCTCTAGGGATCTGAGTGTGATTAGAATAGTCGAACGCATTCCCTGCTATCCCTGGGTTTTGGAAGTCTGGTAATAGGAGTCACAGATAAAAAAGCAAGGTGAATCCAGCAGTCCCGCTCGTGGCTGGTGTTCCATCTTCTAGAACTTGTTTCCGTGTTTCTCCCAGAGTGTCTCCATTCGGCTTCTCGTGGTCCTGCCCAGCCCTCCAGCATGTGAATAAACATGTGCCCCCACCAGAGCCTCCCCGCTAGCACTCCACCCGTGTGGATGGTTCCATCCAGGGAGGGCCCCAAACCCCAGTGCCTGGAGTGGCAAATAAGTTTATACTTAGTGTCAAGTTTTGTATTTGGAAATCTAATCCGTTTTTTTAAAGCTAAGTGCAAAACAAGCCAGCAGACTGGTGAAGTAAACAGGGGACAGTCTGCCTTGTCGGCTCCCAGATGGACAGTTGCTTTTGTGCAAATACGTCTTTGACCTGAAGTCACACTTTTTCTGAAGTTATATCGTGTTCGTATTTGTGGCATCTTTCCCAGGCCCCAAAGCTGGCAAGAAATCATTTTTAGACAATTCATTAATTTGAGTCACCTCGGTAGGTAGTTCTTTGACAGCTCTACGTGCTTTACGTTTGTACGGTCACGTTCGTATTTAAGATGGGGACTGCTCAGTTTGCTTTCGGAGAATGCCCTTTTGAAAAAGGAACCGTATTATTAGAGTCTCATGAAGCCGCTAACGCCCGGCTTGGTTACCGCAGTGCCCACGCAAATGCGAGGCTTTATTGGTGTTGCCCTGAACGTGCCTGGGGCTTGGCGGCCCGCCGAGCACGTCCGTGTGGGAACCGTGGCCCCCCGCCCGTGGCACCCACACATCGTCGGCTTGCTGGCTTGACTGGAAGCTTTGTTATCAACCCCAAGCGCTGGTGCAGGGCGTCCTCCCCATTTACAGCTCTGGTGTAGCTCTTAACCCGCGTGGATGTGATCCAGATCATAGCCTGTCCACATCGAGAGGCCGCCGCCTCCATCCTGCCTGGGTCCTGAGCCTTTGCTTTTGGTCTCACAGTAAAGACGTTTACAACCGAATGGATATCGTTCTTTCTTTGAGATCGTTATTCAAAGTAGGGGCGACAACCAAGAAAACTCACCTCTGAAGTGTGTACGTTAAAGCTTTGTAAACCTGCCACCTTGCTGTGCACGTTCAGGAGGATGCTAGGGAAGTACGGTCCCCTGAGTTCGCTCACAGAAAAACCCAGAGTGATGGGCCAACTGTCTAGCTTTTAGGAAGACGAGTCCAGGTGGGGGGACTCTGTGTGGAGCCGGCCTTGACCGGACGGCCCTGGGGCCGGCAGCTCCTGTCCCCGCGCTCCAGCACGCACCCCATGTGAAAACCGAGCCCGCTCTCCAGAAGGTTCAGTGACCAGGAACGGGGGCGCCAGAGCAGAGCAGGATGTCTGTCTGAGGGGGAAGTTGCTGCCTGGGGTCAGTGACTTTCTGTAAGACCGTGAACCCAAAACCTGAAACAAACCAGAAAACCTTCCTATGACTTAAACCTGTCACGAAAACCAGCATCAGCCGTCTCATGAGTTAGCAAATGTTTATTTTAAATAAAAATTAGTTTCATACCATACATATTTACAGGAATGCTATACAAAAATAAAAGCCGGTCATTTCATCTGGGCCACTGTTGTGGAACACCCCCCAAGCCCCAGAAGCCCTGCACCTTCCCCGTAGCTGCCACATGCCGCGGTGTTCTCTCGTCTCGGCCGGGCCTGGGCACTCGCAGGTCCTACGTGTGGTCACCTGGTCGTCCAAAGGCCGTGCCAACCCTGTCCTCGGTTTCCAGGAAACACAGGCAGAAGTGGTCCTTACTGAGGAGGGCCAGTGAGTCCCCGTTTAAATGCCAGCACAGAGAAAGCACCTGAAAGTCACCTGGAGAAAGACAGGCAGCCGGAGGGTGAAAGGGTGAGGCCAGGGTCCCAGGGTGAGCGCGGCCCCAAATCCTGTAGCCAAAGGACAGGCCTGGAGAGACCCAGCTGCAGCCCCAAAGCTCAACTCGGGTGGGCATCTCTGTGTCCCGTGAGAGCTCGGAGCGGTGGACCCCCACCCGGTGTGTGATGCCGGGGACCAGCCTGAGGTCTCCCCGGATGTGCCCAGAGGGACTCCCGACCATACACCCGAGGTGGTCGCCCACACGAGCCACGGTGCCCAGGTCGGCTGGGAGGGACTCATCTGTTAGGGTTCTGCCTACAGCCGGTCACAAGCGCCACTGCGCTCACCTTCCCCAGGCACCTGCACAGACACGCAGCCCGCTGGCGACCACAGGTACACCTTGCCGCCTCCCGTGCAGATGGCCAGCCGGGGCTGCTGCGGGTCCCACTGGAAGGAGCGCACGGGGGACAGCTGCTCCAGCACCACGAAGAGCCTCAGCTTCTGAATGTCCCAGATCCAGACGGCGTTCGGGACACTGTCTGAGAAGGGAAGACGTGGACACCCTGCTTCAGTGTCCCTGCCTGAGATGCACGCTGGGGGGCAGGCCACAAGCCTTGTGGACGTGGCTGCTCCGGTGTCTACGAGCCGGACGGTCCCCCCGCCCAGGCTTAGAGCCCACAAGGGCGGGTTTGGCGGTTTTTACAGCCCTCAAAACACGTGAGCCCCCTTCCCGCACGAAACGGGCCATGGCTGTGGTGGCGCCCGGACCCTGCTCTTCACCCGATGGCAAGCAGCGGGCGGAGGCGCCAAGACGCCGTGCCTCCGGAAGCTTCTGTGGGCACAGCATCCCGGCAGGAGGACGCGACATGCCGGAAGCCCGTCACCGGGGTTTCGCTCACCCGGTCTTCATGCCTGGGCACCGGAGGAAACGGGAAGGGGCACGGCCCGCGAGCGCGGCCACTGACCGCTTCTCGTCGCCAGGAAGTAGCTGTCCGGGCTGAAGGCCAGCGCTCCGATGCCGATTTTCGGGTTCGCTCTGTCGGCAACAGGCTTCAGGGTCTGTAAGGAGACTGGCACGGAGGCGATCTCATCTAGAACACAGAAAGGGAGGGGACAGGAGCCGCTGGCCTCGTCCACTCAGTTCAGACGGAAGGAAAAGAGGACTTCGCGTTAACCCACGGAGGCAAGATTCTATGGAAACAGGCTTAAGGGGACCCGGCCACGGCGCTGGAGCCCGTGTTGCGGGTCAGCGCGCCAGGTGCCCCCGTGGCGGGGTCTGTGTAGCGGAGAGACCACGTGTGAGCGGGCAGGGGTGTGGCAACTCTGTGCCTTCCCCTCAGTTTTGCCATACACCTAAACTGCTCTAAAAAAAGTCTTAAAAAAAACAAAAAGCCATTATAAAACTCACGGCAAAAGGTGGTAAGGTGATGATGGAAGGCCAGGTGAGCGGGTGTGCTGGCTGTGTCCCACCCCCCCCGCCCCCGCCTCCATCCGGGGTGCTTACTGAGCAGGACTGGGCCGCGGACACCACACGACCCGGGGGCTGCTCCCCCACCTCCTTTACCTCGTTAGCCCACCGTACCGATGCCGGGACTGAGGCACAGGCCACCTGCCCAGGACCCGCGTCCAGTTCCGCAGCCCCACCCCCTCTGGCTCCTCCAAGGGCATCTTACTGGTCCTTAAAGAACCACCTGCAGGGCGCCGCCTGTCACACTGGGACCGCCAGCCCTCCCGACACGACGGAAACCTCCCCCCCCACCCCCCGATCAGGCGAGTCTAGTGACCCGCAGGTGGGAGGACACAAGCCGGGAGGTGTTGCTGGCAAACGAGGGAGCGACCCCGCCCCCCCCAACTGCTCACACTTGGTCTCCGCGGGGGAGGCCACGCCGGCCGCTGCTCTGGGCGGGGGGAAGGCCAGGCGGCCCGGCGCCAGCCGCGGAGTCTTCTCGGCTTCCTTGTACACGACCTGGAAGACACGACGGTCCTGCCACCACCACCGCCCGCACATGACACGCAGGAGCAGAGGTGGTGACGCACCGGGTAGTGGTGACGCTGGACCTCGACATGAGGCGCTGCCGTTCCTGGTGACGGACACGGAGACGCCGGGCCACCGGCGCCCACTCCGCCGCGTGGGCGCCTGGCGTGGGTCCCGCCCCTCGGGGGAGTGGCCTGTGCTGGCTGCGGGCTCGTACGCGCCCAGCCAACCGCTCGCCAGTGAGGACACAAGCGTCTCAGTGGTGCCAAGTGACAGATGCAGGTCCTGGGAACGAGGGGACATCTGTGTCCCGAAGCCTGATGGGCCCATGAGGCCGAGGCGGTGAGGCAGCCCGGCTGTCCCCTGGCCTCAGAACGAGCTCGAGCTGCAGGCCGGGAGGGCCGAGCAAACCCTTCGCGGCCCACGTGGTTGGCCTGCTCGGCCTCGGCCTCCCACAACCACGGATGGCTTCACCCGCCTGCACCTCCAGCCGGGTCCCACCTCAGGACCTCCGCCCCAGCCTCGCCTCCCCAGCTGTCCCCTCCCCCTCCCCTCCCCTTCCACACGGCTACCTGCAGCCCTACTCCTGGTGGCCTCCCTCCTATTTCCCACGTGTGGGACAGCTCCCCAAGGTTGGGGTCTGTCTGTCCCCTGCTAAAAAGGACACACATGCCCACCTCAGGCCCTTGGTACTTCCTGTTCTTGCTGCCAGACCTGCTCCTCCCTCCGATGCCGTATCACTTCTTCCTGGCCCCTGCCCCCGTGACCGTCCCTGCCTGCCCCAGGGACACCTGCCCCCCGCTTCTCACGTCTGCTCCTCCAGCCCCAAACGCCCAGTGCTTGTGGGTGAGGGACCCTGGGTACTCTGCCGAGGGCAGGAACAGACCTGAGAGTGACCCATCTGGGGAGTGGGGAGGGCAGGGCAAGGACACCACTTGGGATCCTTTGGGAATTGGTCGAGTCGAACATTTGAAATGTTACCGTAACGGAAGTTTCTGGTGATGTGAGTACCGACATCATCATGAATAATGTAAAGTGAAAAAAGACTTTTTCTACCTCCCTTCTCCAAATGTGGCTCAAATAGAAACCTGCATTCCAGGGAGGGAGGAAGATGGCGGCGAAGGACGACGCTGGGCTCAGCGCGTCCTGCTGATCGCTTAGATTCTCCCCACATCTGCCTAATTTACCCCGATAACCACGAGAAGACTAGCAGAACGGACTCTCCAGAGCCAAGCGCAGACGACAGGCCCACGGAAGAAGGTAGGAAGGGCGGAGGGGCGGTGCACGCTCCACAGACTGGCGGGAGGGAGCCGGGGCGGTGGAGGGGCAGCCAGCCCGCCCGGCAAGGCAGAGCCCCCGAGTGTGGCTGGCAAAAGCGCAGGGGCCGGACGGAGTGTGTTCTGTCAGCCAGTGAGACTTAACATCTGGAAGGTTATAAGCTAACAGCTCTGCTCGGAGAACGGGAGGGCCGGAGGACAACGGGACGGAGCGTTGTTGAGCCCCGGACGACAGAGCGCAGCTTGGCGGGGAACAAAGGCGCTGGGAAGCGCCTTCTCCCTCGCCCACCCCCCAGCCAAAATCCCAAAGGGAACCAGTTCCTGTCACGGAACTTGCTTGCACCGCGCAAACACCCAACGCTGTGCTTCTGCGGATCCATCCCTCCGACGGGTCGGCCTCCCTCCCAGTGCCGCAGGGCTCCTCCTGAAGCGGATCACCGAAGGAAAAGCGAGCTGAGCCTGCTCCTCCCACCCCTGTGCACCTTGCGGATCCACCCCGGCTAATACGCCAGATCCCATCGAAGCAGCACCACAAGCCTGGCAGTGTGCAAGTAGCCCAGACAGGGGCCACACCACTCCACAGTGAGTCCTGCCCCTGGGAGAGGGGAAGATAAGGTACCCACCCGTCTGACTGTGGCCCCAGCAGTGGGCTGGGGACAGACAGCGGCTCTGACTGCGGCCCCGCCCACCAACGCAAGTTACTCCAGACAGCACGGGGGAAGTGCCCTGCAGATCCGCGCCACCCCAGGGACGATCCAAAATGACGAAACGCAGGAATTCTCCTCAAAAGAAACTCCAGAAAATAGCGACAGCTAACAAACTGATCAAAAACGATTTAAGCAATACAGCAGAAAATGAATTTAAAATAATAGTCATAAAATTAATCGCTGGGCTTGAAAACAGTATAGAGGACAGCAGAGAATCTATTGCTACAGAGATCAAGGGACTAAGAAACAGTCAGGAGGAGCTAAAAATGCTATAAATGAGCTGCAAAATAAAATGGAGGCGACCACAGCTCGGATTGAAGAGGCAGAGGAGAGAACAGGTGAATTGGAAGATAAAATTATGGAAAAAGAGGGAGCTAAGAAAAAGAGAGATTAAAAAAATCCAGGAGTATGAGGGGAGACTTAGAGAACTAAGTGATACAATTAAATGTAATAACATATGCATAATTGGGATTCCACAGGAGGAAGACAGAGGGAAAGGTGCTGAAGACATACTTGAAGAAATCATAGCTGAGAACTTCCCTGATCTGGGGAAGGAAAAAGGCACTGAAATCCAAGAGGCACAGAGAACTCCCTTCAGATGTAACTTGAATCGATCTTCTGCACAATATATCATAGTGAAACTGACAAAATACAAGGACAAAGAGAGAATTCTGAAAGCAGCTAGGGATAAACGGGCCTTAACATACAAAGGTAGACACATAAGGGCAGTAGCAGACCTATCTACTGAAACTTGGCAGGCCAGACAGGAATGGCAGGAAATCTTCAATGTGATGAACAGGAAAAATAATGCAGCCAAGAATCCTTTACCCAGCAAGTCTGTCATTCAAAATAGAAGGAGAAATAAAGGTTTCCTCAAACAAACAAAAACTGAAGGAATTCATCATCACTAAACGAGCTCTACAAGAGATCCTAAGGGGGACTCTGTGAATGAAATGTTGCAAGGACCACAAAGGACCAGAGACACCATTACAAGCATGAAATCTATAGATAACATAATAACTCTAAACCCATATCTTTCAATAACAACACTGAATGTAAACGGACTAAATGCGCCAATCAAAAGACATAGGGTATCAGAATGGATAAAAAAAACAAGACCCATCTATTTGCTGTCTACAAGAGACTCATTTTAGACCTGAGGACACCTTCAGATTGAAAGTGAGGGGATGGAGAACTATCTATCATGCTACTGGAAGTCAAAAGAAAGCTGGAGTAGCCATACTTATATCAGACAAACTAGACTTCAAATTAAAGGCTGTAACAAGACATGAAGAAGGGCATTATATAATCATTATAGGGTCTATCCATCAGGAAGAGCTAACAATTATAAATGTCTATGCACCGAATACGGGAGCCCCCAAATATATAAAACAATTAATCAAAAACATAAGCAACCTTATTGATAAGAATGTGGTAATTGCAGGGGACTTTAATACTCCATTTACAACGTTGGACAGATCATCTAGACACAGGATCAATAAAAAAACAAGGGCCCTGAATGATACACTGGATCAGATGGACTTGATAGATATATTTAGAACTCTGCATCCCAAAGCAACAGAATATACTTTCTTCTCGAGTGCACAGGGAACCTTCTCCAAGATAGATCACATACTGGGTCACAAAACAGCCCTTCATAAGTATACAAGAATTGAGATCATACCATGCATACTTTCAGACCACGATGCTCTGAAGCTTGAAATCAACAACAGGAAAACATCTGGAAAACCTCCAAAAGCATGGAGGTTAAAGAACACCCTACTAAAGAATGAATGGGTCAACCAGGCAATTAGAGAAGAAATTAAAAAATATATGGAAACAAATGAAAATGAAAATACAACAATCCAAACACTTTGGGATGCAGCAAAGGTAGTCCTGAGAGGAAAATACATTGCAATCCAGGCCTATCTCAAGAAACAAAAATCCCAAATACAAAATCTAACAGCACACCTAAAGGAAATAGAAGCAGAACAGCAAAGACACCCCAAATCCAGCAGAAGAAGGGAAATAATAAAGATCAGAGCAGAAATAATATAGAATCTAAAAAAACTGTAGAACAGATCAATGAAACCAAGAGTTGGTTTTTTGAAAAAATAAACAAAATTGATAAACCTCTAGCCAGGCTTCTCAAAAAGAAAAGGGAGATGACCCAAATAGATAAAATCATGAATGAAAATGGAATTATTACAACCAATCCCTCAGAAATACAAGCAATTATCAGGGAATACTATGAAAAATTACATGCCAACAAACTGGACAACCTGGGAGAAATGGACACATTCCTAAACACGCACACACTTCCAAAACGCAATCAGGAGGAAATAAAAAGCTTGAAGACCCATAACCAGCGAAGAAATTGAATCAGTTATCCAAAATCTCCCAACAAATAACAGTCCAGGACCAGATGGCTTCCCAGGGGAATTCTACCAGACGTTTAAAGCAGAGATAATACCTATCCTTCTCAAGCTGTTCCAAAAAATAGAAAGGGAAGGAAAACTTCCAGACTCATTCTATGAAGCCAGCATTACTTTGATTCCTAAACCAGACAGAGACCCAGTAAAAAAAGAGAACTACAGGCCAATATCCCTGATGAATATGGATGCAAAATTCTCAATAAGATACTAGCAAATCGAATTCAAAAGCAAATAAAAAGAATTATTCACCATGATCAAGTGGGATTCATTCCTGGGCTGCAGGGCTGGTTCAACATTCACAAATCAATCAATGTGATACATCACATTAATAAAAGAAAAGATAAGAACTATATGATCCTGTCAATCAATTAAGAAAAAGCATTTGACAAAATTCAGCATCCTTTCTTAATAAAAACCCTCGAGAAAGTCGGGATAGAAGGAACATACCTTAAACAGCATAAAAGTCATTTATGAAAAGCCCACAGCTAATATCATCCTCAATGGGGAAAAACTGAGAGCTTTTTCCCTGAGATCAGGAACATGACAGGGATGTCCACTCTCACCGCTGTTGTTTAACACAGTGTTGGAAGTGCTAGCATCAGCAATCAGACAACAAAAGGAAATCAAAGGCATCAAAATTGGCAAAGATGAAGTCAAGCTTTCACTCTTTGCAGATGACACATTGTACATGGAAAACCTGACAGACTCCATCAAAAGTCTGCTACAACTGATACATGAATTCATCAAAGTCGCAGGATACAAAATCAATGTACAGAAATCAGTTGCATTCTTCTACGCTAATAATGAGGCAACAGAAAGACAAATAAAGAAACTGATCCCATTCACAACTGCACCAAGAAGCATAAAATACCTAGGAATAAACCTAACCAAAGATGTAAAAGATCTGTATGCTGAAAACTACAGAAACCTTATGAAGGAAACTGAAGAAGTTACAAAGAAATGGAAAAACATTCCGTGCTCATGGACTGAAAGAATAAATATTGTTAAAATGTCAATACTACCCAAAGCCATCTACACATTCAATGCAATCCCAATCAAAATTGCACCAGCATTCTTCTTGAAGCTAGAACAAGCAATCCTAAAATTTGTATGGAACCACAAAAGACCCTGAATAAGGCAAAGTAATACTGAAGAAGAAAATCAAAGCAGGAGGCGTCACAATCCCAGACTTTAGCCTCTGCTACAAAGCTGTAATCATCAGGACAGCATGGGATCGGCACAAAAACAGACACATAGGGGCGCCTGGGTGGCTCAGTCGGTTGGGCGTCCGACTTCGGCTCAGGTCATGATCTCGCGGTCTGTGAACCCAAGCCCCGCGTCGGGCTCTGTGCTGACAGCTCGGAGCCTGGAGCCTGTCTCAGATTCTGTGTCTCCCTCTCTCTCTGACCCTCCCCTGCTCATGCTCTGTCTCTGTCTCAAAAATAAATAAATGTTAAAAAACAAAAACAAAAAACAAAAACAGACACATAGACCAATGGAATAGAACAGAAACCCCAGAACTAGACCCACAAAAATATGGCCAACTAATCTTTGACAAAGCAGGAAAGAATATCCAATGGAAAAAAGACAGTCTCTTTAACAAATGGTGCTGGGAGAACTGGACAGCAACATGCAGAAGGATGAAACTAGACCACTTTCTCACACCATTCACAAAAACAAACTCAAAATGGATGAAGGACCTAAATGTGAGACAGGAAACCATCAAAACCCTAGAGGAGAAAGCAGGGAAAAACCTCTCTGACTTCAGCCGCAGCAATTTCTTACTTGACACATCCCCAAAGGCAAGGGAATTAAAAGCAAAAACGAACTACTGGGACCTCATGAAGATAAAAAGCTTCTGCACAGCAAAGGAAACAATCAACAAAACTAAAAGGCAACCAACGGAATGGGGAAAGATATTTGCAAATGACACATTGGATAAAGGGCTAGTATCCAAATCTATAAAGAACTCACCAAACTCCACACCCGAAAAACAAATAATCCAGTGAAGAAATGGACAGAAGACATGAATAGACACTTCTCTAAAGAAGACATCCAGATGGCCAACGGGCACATGAAAAGATGCTCAACGTCGCTCCTCATCAGGGAAATAAAAATCAAAACCACACTGAGACACCACCTCACGCCGGTCAGAGTGGCTAAAAGGAACAAATCAGGAGACTATAGATGCTGGAGAGGATGTGGAGAAACGGGAACCCTCTTGCACTGTTGGTGGGAATGCAAACTGGTGCAGCCGCTCTGGAAAACAGTGTGGAGGTTCCTCAGAAAATTAAAAATAGACCTACCCTATGACCCAGCAATAGCACTGCTAGGAATTTACCCAAGGGATCCAGGAGTGCTGATGCAGAGGGGCACTTGTGCCCCAATGCTTATAGCAGCACTTTCAACAATAGCCAAATTATGGACAGAGCCTAAATGTCCATCAACTGACGAATGGATAAAGAAGATGTGGTTTATATATACAATGGAATACTACTTGGCAATGAGAAAGAATGAAATCTGGCCCTTTGTAGCAACGTGGATGGAACTGGAGAGTGTTATGCTAAGTGAAATAAGCCATACAGAGAAAGACAGATACCGTATGTTTTCACTCTTAAGTGGATCCTGAGAAACTTAACAGAAGACCAGGGGGGAGGAGAAGGGGGGAAAA